GAATTGCATCAGATGGATGTTCACAATGCATTCCTGCATGGAGATCTTCCGGATGAGGTGTATATGAGGTTGCCACCTGGTTTCTCGAGTTCGTCCAATATGGTGTGCAAACTCAAGAAGTCTTTGTATGGCTTGAAACAGGCTCCAAGATGTTGGTTTGCAAAATTGTCTGGGGCATTGAGACGATATGGATTTGTGCAGTCTGTTTCCGATTACTCTTTATTTTCTTTTGTTGGAAAGAAAGGAGTAATTCATGTTCTAGTCTATGTAGATGATTTGATCATTGCGGGTGATAGTACTGAGATGATACACCAGTTCAAGGAATATTTAGCACATTGTTTTCGGATGAAGGATTTGGGGACTCTGAAGTTCTTTCTTGGCATCGAGGTAGCACGAAGTACATCTGGAATTTTTCTCTGCCAACGAAAGTACGCTTTAGATATCATTACTGAGGCGGGGCTGTTAGGTGCCAGACCGTTGGGTGCCCCGATGGAGCCAAATCATCCCTTGGCTCGTTCCCAAGCTCCTGTCCTTGCAGATCCGGAACCGTATCGACGGCTGGTAGGAAGATTGGTCTATCTCTCTGTTACTCGACCTGAGCTCTCCTACGCCGTACATACTTTGGCACAGTTTTTGAAAGAACCAAGGGAGGATCAGTGGTCTGCAGCGCTTGGGGTGGTTCGTTACTTGAAAGGGTGTCCTGGACAGGGCATTTTACTCTCTGCAGATAGTAGCCTTCAGCTTATGGGATGGTGTGATTCAGACTGGGCAGCATGTCCTTTGACCCGGCGATCGTTGACAGGCTGGTTCGTGCAACTTGGGGAATCGCCGGTTTCGTGGAAGACAAAGAAGCAGACAACGGTGGCTCGTTCGTCTGCTGAGGCAGAGTACAGGGCTCTCGCTGTTCTTACCTGTGAGCTGAAGTGGTTGAAGAATTTGTTGAGATGCTTGGGGGTTGATCATAGGACTCATATGATCGTACGTTGTGACAGCACCGCAGCACTTCATATTGCTGCTAATCCAGTTTTTCACGAACGAACGAAGCATATTGAGATTGATTGTCATTTCGTTCGTGATGAGCTTTTACGAGGAGAAATTTGTGCTCTTCATGTGCCTACTACGCATCAGCTTGCAGATATTCACACTAAGGCACTTGGAAAGTCACGCATGGAGTTTCTTATTCCCAAGTTGGGCATTTCAACATTACATGCTCCAACTTGAGGGGGGTGTAAGAGAATATTTAGCATTTATTAGCATTTATTTCCGTATATATTAGTTATGGTAGTTGCCTTGTATAGAGATTCTTTTTCCTTTGTTAATTAGGACTCTTTGATATATATACGGCTGGATTGTAAATTGTAAAACACAGAAATGAATACAAAGATTTTGATTCCGAAACAATTCTTTCAGTTATGTTGAAAATGCTCCGAAGGATGACTCTATGGACTGCTGGTTGGTGCCCTATAATGACGGGTAAGAATTTCAAAATTTATTGACTAGTTGTTTTTTATAATTTACATTTTTTGCATTGCTACATACAAAATGAATTTCGTTGGTAGGTTTCATTGGATGTTATGTGCAATTCTTCCAAAAGAATCAATAATATTTTGGTTAGATTCTCTTCGAGATTCTGGACGCCGCCCTAGTCCCATCAGGCATATAATAAACACGTAAGCTAAATACTAAGTTATATAACTTTCTATCAAAATTAGTTGAAAGTAATAAAAAAAATTATATGTAAAAGGGCATTCTTCAACTTGAAGTACCAAGGCAAAGCACATTACATAAAACCCGGGAAGTTTGGGCCAAAATGGATCGATGTAAAAGTAAGTACGCTTTTCCCTCTTTTAAAATTTAAGGGAATATAAAATTTACATATATCAGATTGAATTTTGTTCTCATGTACGTAGTGTCCTATACAAGATGGAGAATTCGAAGGTGGTTACTTTGTGATGAAGATGATGTATGATATCATGGTTCGACCAGCATTACAAGGCATTGATGAAGTAAAGTGATTATGACATCTAGTAGTTTTCATTTTTTGCATATCATAAATTATAATCATCTAGCACATTAAATTATTATTCAAACTTATGTTGTACAGATTTACAGTAATGGGGCTTCACCTTTTCTAAAGAAAGAAATCAATGAAATGAGATCATTGTTTTGTGCTCATTTCAATTCAAAGTATGATCAGCTAACTACCTATGGTCAAAAATGATGTCATTGAGCTCATTCCAGGTATATATGCTTGTAAATCAATTGCATTGGTTATGTAGTATGACTATTTTGGTCTCTAGCCCCCCCTCTTGCTTAGAATATTACTTGATTTTACGAAATTAGGTTCTTTTTTCCCTCATTTTTAAAAAAAGGTTTCTCTATATCTATATGATGAGAATATGTATTCTATCTCATGTTTTTGTCTTTAACTCTTGGATTTGTTGAAACTTGGATAGAATAATTTCTTAATGGTTGGTGTTTTTATTTTTTTCTTAAGGCTTGAAATGGCGACTTGATACTGTGTCCTTTGTCTCTCCAGATTCATCTTCTACTTGCTTGCTATCAAAGTATTTTGACTTAATTTCAGTTTACCAACATATAGCTGAATTCTATCCAATGAAACATTTTTACCTTTTATTTTAATGGGCAAGTTATTCTAAGATTTCTATGTACATTGAATATTTAGCTCCTCTACTTAAATCATTTGAACTGCATGACATATGTTAATAAGTTATGCTATGATGTTTCAATTCAATATGTGTGCTACTCTCCAGCATTATTTTATCTATTGGATATGCTCATTTCCTCTTTAAAAAAATGTTATTGTAGTTTTTGTTGATGAAGATATGCCTTTAGAGAAATTATGTCATTTACTTTGAAAGTTACTCATTCATTGTTATTAAGATTGATTCAAATTTTTTAATTTTCAGATTTTGGTGGTGAAGAAGGGTTTATTTAAAGTTTGTAGTAAGCTTGGAATATAGGGGTGCTCCATATCCTTATGATCGATCAAATGAGTTAGGGAGCAATTGGATTTATGACTTTCAGGCCATTGCATGAAGTGTTGGCAGAGTATATGACACTAGCTAGCTTTATTTTTTTGCAAAAAAACAATTATTTTGGCTTGAGTACTATATTTTAGCAAGCATTAGTTATTTGGCTCACTTTAAACTTATGTTACGTTCTTGCTATTTATGGAGGGGCTTTGGTTTCGTCCTCCCCTCATGTATTTTATTTTATTCTTTTTTAATAAATTATGTTTTGTTTTATACATTCCAATCTTAAACATCAGATATTTACCCATCATGTTACACATCGAATATTTTGTCGCTATATAAAGTTTACGTCGCGCATATTTGTCCGTTGTGTAAAGTGTAAAACAGTCGCTGTCTATGCAAGCGATGTGAAATCTCCCATGTTTACCCAGCGCATATTAATCCGATGTGTTAAGTTTACACAGCGCATATTTATTCGCTGTGTAATATTTACCCATCGCATATATTATCCGATGTGTAAAGTTTACACATCGAATAAATAAGCGCTACGTAAAGTTTACACATCGGATAAATATGCACTGCGTAAACATGAGAGCTTTCCCATCGCTTGCATGGACAGCGACTGTTTTCTGATGGGAAAAGCAATATTTATCCGTTGTGTAATGTATATTCTATAGTAGTGAAGTAATCACACAATTTACCTAGCACTTGCTCATTTCCATTCTCAACTCGACGTTGGTGGATCACCAATAACCTGTCCCTATAATATATTCTAAATTAAGGACTACTACTTCCCTTTGGAGTCATGATTGTTCCCACTGGATCAGCGGGCCATGCTCAATCAACAAAGGTGTTCCCTGTTGGGTGGGTGGAATCTCCACCTCATAAGTCACCAGGCAGTTCAAGGATACTCGTACGCATGTTTTTACGAGATTAGCCATTGGACCCAGTAGGCTCCACATGACTTACTCTCTACTATCCTGATATTAACTACTAAGTCAGTCCTAAAGTTCCTCTAGGTAGACTTACCTCATTCAAAGTGTTGAATATTTCGATTCTGGTTCTGTTTTGCCGAGTCTACCTGTCACAGTACTTGTATACCGGCGAACGTAACCAAGGTACCGCCACCCGGTACATAAATATCATGAAGAATAGTGACTTGAAGTAGCTCACTACCGTTCGTCCGGAAGTAGATACCGACCTGAAGTAGTGAATGGCAGAGTGGAATGAACTATAGCGGTAGCTCGGTACCGAACTACCATCTAACGACTACAACCCGATACGACATGATTTTCCAGCATTCACCACTGTTTCCAAGTCCCGAATTTAATATTATTCACATACAACAACAACATATGGTTATTATATCACATACAACATATCCAATAGTCTTGCTACGCCTAAATTATGCTTCTACTTATTCAATCTTATTGAACGACCCAAATCCCTTAACATGCAGTTCATACAAGTTTCATGTAACTCAATCAACATAACGATATAAACTTAGATTTCAAACCTAAAAGATTGCTCTAACGTTAGGGTTCTACGTACTCACCTAGAAATAACAGATAGAAGATTAAACTACGACAAACGAGAGACTTGCGATGAAGAGCGGCGGGGGCAACGATCCTCTTCTTCTTCATCATCTTCTTCTTTTCCACTAGGTATTTTCCCGATCACCAGAGTGAGACAAGCGAGAGGATTATGTGAAAGGCGTGCGGTGTGGGGAGGGTTTAAACGCACGCATGTCTATTTAAATACCATAAGAATTTGTGCACTATAATTAAAATAATGTACCTCAGGAAAAATATATTTTTTGGGCCAACTTGCTCCAAATTAAGATTCGTCTGCACCATTGGATTCATCTCGTTGAACCCTACACAATGGTATAATTTCTGTAAGTAATTAGAAAATATTTCTAATTAACCTTAGGTCCATCTCAGCAATTAATTAATTAATTATTTCTAATTAATTTATTAATTTTGATAGGCCGGGTTTCGGGATGTTATAGATTGATTCTGAGACCTTAGGTGTTGGCCGGATGACGGTAAGTGGAAGGTGTTTACACTCAACACTAGGCTGCTATTTGTATCATACGATGATTATCTAAATGTTGTTATCCTCTTGATATATTTTAAAGATAATCATAATATGCCTCAAACGAGTAAGGTAAAATAAGGTTGTTCTTAGCACGAACATGATTATATTAAATGATTTAATGACATAGGTTACGTAAAAGAACTCTAGGGATACCATACTCCGATTAAGATTGTAAGTTGCCAAAATATTATAGAGCCTTGTGGACTTAGTGTCCAGTGGCATTCGGGTAAAGATGTGCGTACATGAAATCTGGGATATGATTTGTAGGATTGGAGGTTCTACCCAACCATCGTCGTACATACCGGGTTTCTCAGAATCATAGTCGTAGATAGTGTTTCTGAGTCATAAACTAGACTTGAGTCATGTTCGTAGGTAGTGGCTCTAGGTCTTAAGATAAGATTGTGAATAATGAAGAGTTATCATTAACCTGTTATAGGTTATGAGCAACTGTTAGAGATGAGCTACTCTAAGAACATGAATGTTGAATTGATAAGTGATGTATCCAAACAGTCAAGGTAAGTAACATGAAATGTGATTTGAATGATATTGTTATTATAATTTGATGTTGTTATGTGATACTACTTGTGCATGGAATCCTACGAATGATTATGTATGTTGAATTTATCTTATGTGTGACTTTTACTATTAGGACCTCTCACTCAGAGTGAAAACTGAGCGTGTAGTTTGTTTTACTTGCTACACGTAGGTAAAAAGAATGACGGATAAAGAAACAATCTTGGAGGGTGGTAGGGATGAGATGGCATGTGGATGCAGATTGATGAATAGATTTAATTAATATTTAGTGTGAATTAATTATGTTTTTCTGGCAAGTACAAAGCTTCCACGCCGTTTTATTTTACTCTGATGGGTGTTTAAATGTTGTTTTGAATTAAATATTTTAAAGTGTTTTGAAAATATGATGTGTTCAGATGTCGATCTAGTGACAACCCGATCCGCTAGCTCATGTTACATTAGGAGATGCATGGATGCATGGCCAAGTATATATTTGGTTTTTTAAATGTTTCAGTTGAACTTATTACTTTTTTGGCATGAACCCAAAGTTGTATTTAGAATTAAGTACTTAAACTCCACACCGTTTGATATTACTCTGATGAATTTTGAAATAATGTTTTGATTTACTATTTTAAATTATTTTGAAAATTATTACGTATAAATGCCAATTTAGTAGCAACTCCGTTCCCAAGCTCATGTATTTGAGTTACACGGATTGAGGTGTCCCTATAATAAAGCCTGGCATTTGAAGTGGTCCCTTTATGGCCTTCGACAAGTCAATACACAATGTTTCTCCAAACTAAGCAGTCTTTCATGCTCAAGGGTTTGTTCAATTTAAATCTGATCCCACTTTGTTCCTTAAGAACATTGATGAACATATCACTATTATTGTAGCTAATGTAGATGATATTCTACTCATTGGAACTGACCTTACAACTATCTCCTCTCTTAAGCAATTTATTGATGACTCTTTCACCATTAAAGTTTTGAGTATTGCTCAATACTTTCTTGGTTTTGAAATGAAATATACCAATGATGAGATTACTCTCTCTTATAGGAAGTTCACCCCACAATTGTTTGTTGAACATCATTGCCTTCATGTGTTGGAATACACATCTAGGTTGACATTTTTGCTAATGAAAATATTTATTCTTTGTAGGTTTTGAAATTGACAAACGTCACAAATATAAAACAAAGAATGAACATTCTAAGGTGATGGCAAGTTTCATACAAAGGATCAAAAAGCACAAGGAAAGACATTAGAAAAATAAAGCTAAAATGTGAGACTTAACATTCTTCATTGTAACAAGTTTACACTTCTTTCTTCTAATTCTTGGCTCAAACACAAAATATTTTTTCTTGCATTTAAAATATTTATTCATGCAAAAAAATACTTTTTAAATTAGTTTTTAAGCCCACAAAATATTTTTTGGTTGCTGCTTTTGGCCTGGATAAAAAACAACTCTAGGTTTCCTGAAAACCACGCCAACATCAAATATCTGTGTGAACATTGATGTTTGGATGGCCTTTTAACATCTCCATCCGCGTAATCCGAACCAACAAATTAGCGAATCCAATTTCTTTTAAACTAGTGTCCAAACACGTACATTTAGAAGCATTTAAACAAAAGGAGAACATTTAAAAAATAATTATTTCCATTTATCGGAGTAATTCTAAAAGAGTGTGGAAGCTTATTTAAACATACCAATTCATTTAAGCAAATCAGTCCATTAAATTCTAGCAAAATATGGCACATATTATGTGGCGTTTGATTTATGAGTTAGACTCTATTAAATATTATTTGACATGTGACCAAACTTTTATTTTTGATCAAAAATAAAATTATTTAAATTTCTTTATATTAAATTATTAAGAATAAAACTATTCAATAAATCCTTTATATGAAATGATTAAACTTTTATGTTTAGAAACTTCATATATGCATTACTTATGTGGCTTTTTACACCTAATATGACACACTAGTTTTTTCCCGGTGCTTCGCACGGGCTCGTATACTATTACGTAAAATATACTCCCTCCGTCCCGGAGTATTCGTCCAGTTTTGACTTTTGGAACTGTTCATCTAAGCACTTCGACTCATCAAATTCTCTCAATGTGTAAGCCTAAATATAGTCATGTGTGATCTTGTTTGATTTGTCTTAACATATAGATTATTAATATATAATTTCTATAATTTTTTAATGTACAAATTACAAGATAAAATGGATTAAAGAAGTGCATTGTATGGTGTGTAAAAATGAAAGTAGACAAATACTCTGGGACGGAGGTAGTATTATACAAACATCATATAAAAATTGAAACTTAAAATGAATATATACGAGTTATGCAAAATGAATAAAAATGTATAGTATTTTCTTATAGAGAGTA